AGCTCGGCACTCAAATGAAAGTCTCTGTCATGAGAAAATATCACTACCTGTCTGTGCTGGAGGACTACCTGCTCGCATCCTCAAAGTGTCTTCGTGGCTTTATCAGCATAATCATTTAGAGTCCGTGTTTGTGACATACAAAGAGAAAGAGRGCAGAAACATTAAAAAAGGATTTAATGAGCAAGGACACTAAATTAAATCTTTTAATCAACATATTTATTTAAAATTCACAGTCACAATCACCTTTTTTTATTTGGGCTTCTTTTTATCAGCTGCTCATTTCACAATCAATAAAAAGATGTCTTTTTACTTTAGAAATCCTTTAAAGTACATTTCTTATTTTGCCTTTTGTCTATTTGTCACCTCAGATTGAAAAATAAAGTCGTTAGTTTGAACAGAAATATGCCTGAAAGGAATTCAATAAGCAATGAAATCTTAAACTGGATCTTTTTTATTTTATTTTACCAAAGACGAAAAAGAGGGCTGAACGGTGATCAAGCATGTTCTCCTTTTGACCTAGTTATCAGTCAACTTGGCCTCCCTCCAACAGACTCATTACACCTGTGGTGGGATCTAAACAAAATGCCATAACTGTCCATAACCCCGCAGGTGTCTTCAAATCATTCCTGACTTTGCTCAGACTCACTGTAATTCCCTTGATATATTATGGGATAGTAATTGGATGGGGAGTTGCCATGACTCAGGGAGGCCGGAGCATGAATCAAGTTGGACAGAGCATATCTTTGTGCTGAAGAAAAAAAAGAAAAAATATATATGTATACATATTTGTGCTGAATGACACCTGAAAGGTCATAGCTCCTGGGAGTTCATAACCATGGTTTTCATTTTGACATGTAATGACAGAACTCTTTCTGTTTTTACTATCTTTTATAGCTTTCTATTAGTCTGTGTTGAGTCTTGATGCTTATGCTTTTGGGATACAATGCATCAAAAGCAAACTGTACCTAAAGTGAGATCAAACATTTGTTATAAAAATAGGAATGCTTTAAAAAGGTTTTTTATTATTTAGATGTTAGAAAGGTGTTTTGCTGAATTTATTTTGTGCTCAAACTGAGCTGATAGCTGATTCCTTCTATAGTTTCCTGCCTTTTTCCATTTTTTTTGTATTTTGAATAATATATACTAACAGCAAAAAGTCACTATTTATTGTGGAATTTTAATATATTGACATAGGCAAGACATTATATTGTTATATACTAGTTTTTATTTATTTATTTATTTATCCATCCATCCATCCATCCAAAGTAAACAAGTATTCTTAGCCACACACACATATTCCAATGACCTCTTAAACTCTGTATTGTACCATATAACAGCCAAATTATGTACTTTTTTAATCTACTGGGACCAAATATGAAGTTGTTTTTCACTGAAAGAATCAGGTAGAACTCTTCTGGACTAAAGAGTCGGGGAAACTATGGACTTGATGAACCTGCCACTTAATAACAAGGTCAGATAAGACATAAAAGAGTAAAGGAAACCAGTATGTGGGACACCAAACAATGACGTCCCAGCAAGGCCACCACACATTCTAAGATCCCCGTGTCAGCATTCATGATAAAGGAATGAAATAAATTAAATATAGATATGTTAGCAGTATTCTGTGGTAAGGAATTCTGGTGAACATATTTCTGCACGAACTTTGAGTTTGAGGTGCACCGCGTTGTCCCACCCTGCCTTCACTTCCTGCAGGTGCTCGAAAAGTCCCAAAGGGCAGTGCTCCTCTGAGGCTTCCTTAGTCAGCAGGCTGGCTCCTCACATGTAATATCCTGTTTTTTAACATGTGCAGCAGCTTATTTGTTAGATCCCCCGCCCCCCGGTGCTTCGCACAACAATGGATTTGAGCATGTGCAGTCAAATGTCTGTCTGCTTTTTACATGAAATTTACACCAACAGAGAGCAGACTGGGTGGGATCAAATGCTGAATAGATCCCAGTGCTGTATCGATTTCACTATATAGCATTGATATTTGTTAGAATCATCAGTGATGATTTAGTTTTGTTCTTTTTTTTCTTCTCTTGTTTTTTTTTTTTCTCTTGACCTTGGGAAGCCCCGCAGGATTTGTTGCCTGTAAGCTCATCCCCACAGCGTTTGGCATATTTCCATTTTTTCAGTTCTCAAAGAACCAACCAAGGTAAACATCAATGCGTTATTATTTCGCATGAGATACATTTTCTGCTATATTTTGCTCAATTTTGAGAAACAGGGCAATTCCCATGAAGACGTGTTTCTTCAAGTCAATTTCCTGTCTGCAATTATTTACAGCATACCATTATGGAATCTTTGTGAAGCTATATCAGGATCAGAAAAATATTAAAGCGATCCCCTATTAGCTGTAGCTAACATTAGACTTTATTTAATAAATATGTATTTTAACTGTAAAATAAAGACTGTAAAAATACTGTAGGATGTTTAGTTTGTATAATTTTTAAACTAAAAGTTTAAAAATATATTACTGGGACGGGGTCATTTTATTTACATGCGAAGCATTCTAGGTACCATAAATGATGACGTGGGTAGGTCATCAGTGCGAGGCTGTTAGCGAGCTGTATCCACCCTGAAGGTTAATCTTGGATAATATCTGATGATCGGCTCTTTTAAATGAAACCAGAGAGCGTTGACAGAGAGGAGAAGGTAGAAATGACTCAGCCTGGAACTGAAAATATGGATGAAGTTTAGCTTGTTTGTTGCACTAGCACCGAGCTAATACATATAGGGCAATATAGCGTCAGTGCTAGCACAAAGGCTAACAGGCTAAGCTGAGGTTCTTCTTCCATGAAGCAGCTCTGTTGTCCTCCATCCATATTTTCAGTTCCAGGCTGAGTCATTTCTACCTTCTCCTCTCTGTCAACGCTCTCTGGTTTCATTTAAAAGAGCCGATCATCAGATATTATCCAAGATTAACCTTCAGGGTGGAAATAGCTCGCTAGCAGCCTTGCACCTATGACCTATCCACGTCATCATTTACCCAGAATGCTTTGCATGTAAATAAAATGGCTTCGTCCGTGTTAAAACAATTTTTTAAAAATGTGCAAAACTAAACTACATTATTTTTACAGTCTTTATTTTACAGTTAAAATACATGTTTATCAAATAAAGTCTGATGTTACAACTAATCGGGGATCCTTTTTAATATTAATAACATTTCTTTAAGTAAATTAGTCATTATATAGTAGTGGGGGTAAAAAACTTACAACTGAAAAACATGTTGGTTAAGCTCTAAAATGACATCATTTTGGCCCAATTATCCCCAGACCGTTACGTATTTACACAGACAGCAGCATTTTCTGCATCTGTGCTTGCAGGAAGAGATGTAAATGGCTCAATACATAGTCATTTCTTTCTCTTTTCCTGCTATAGTTAGCAAGCAACCTGCCATGCCTCAAGGCCCACAGACACCTCCATCCTCCTGTTTTGTTTTTCAAGGACTTTTCGCTTTGATGTGCGAAGACCTGGCATTGTTAACGCTGGGAGAGTGCGCCTAGCATGCAAATACTGCAGATATTTATTATTTGTGAAGGAGCGTTTCAGGACCCTTTCTCCTTGCTGCTCGCACTGAAGGTTAGCTTCTGAAAGCGGATGTGTTATGGATGTGTCTGTGCTTTCATTTTTCATAAAAAAAGAACCTGGAGATGGTGTATGCCACCCTAAACATTGTTTTACCCCAATATTTGCTATATGTATTCTCTACCTCAGCTTGTACCATGAGCCTGTTGTCTCCTATGTGAGGGAATTTACAGGCTATTTCTGTGGCCTTCTCAATCAAAAAAAATATTTTATTTCATCTGATGCAAGCTTGGCATTTTTATTTCTGGGCAACAGGAGTTACAGCTACTATCCAAAACCATGCAGTATAAATATATGAGGCAGTGCAGTGAAGTAAAAAAAAAGTTGTATGTGAAATGTATTTTAATGAAAAATTACAAACCATATTTACATTGAACTCAAGACCCCTCAGTCTAAAACAAACATGAGTAAAGGTTAATAAAGTGAATTAGTTTCACATTTTTAATCCTGATGGAATTACAGCCACAAATCAACTGTGCTCTCTCACCCCAAACATTATGTCAAAAACAACGTAAGCTAGAAAAGGAACAAGTTCATACATCATGTAGGCTCAAGCTACATTATTTGTTGTAAGATATTTTTAATTATAATCAACAACAATCAAGTAACAAAAAAAGGCACATTACCCAAGCAGTTCTATGTAGCCAACCAACTTACATGGCAGCATTTTAAACCAAGATCTCATCCTGTTTGTTACTATGTGATGGGGATGACTCTCTGCTACTGCTCATTATCTGTAAAATCAACAGAGCCAAAGCTTCTGTTTGCTGAGGTCAGTTGCCTGTGGTGGTCATTTTGAATTCTGTTAACTCCAAAAGGTGAGGAGTTGGAGATGCAAATCCACTGAGTGCCTTCTGAGGGTTTCAGTATTATCTTCCCAATGGTTCATGAGATAGTTTGCTAACATACAAACACAGCTGACTCCAATAGTAAAGCTTTAAAGACATATCAGTCAGAGCTAGGWGTAAACGTGAGGAATGACTGGCAGGTATTAACACACACACAGACACTAGTGATTACAAAACTGTCCATCTTTTCAGGGCAAGTGATTATTCTAYATCAAAGCAAATTATAAAAAGGAGAAACATTGTGATTTCAGCCCAGGTAAGTAGTGTAGATAGACACTGAATGAACAAGCATCTACTGAACAACTAACTTAATTTTATTCAACTGTTCTCTTTTTTAATGCCTTAAATCGAATAAAATAAAATTAAAATTCCTCAAAACACATGACTTTAACTGCTTCTGTGATGCCAGCAGATGAAACCCCTTTTTCAAGACAAAGGTTTTGTTAAAAGCTTGCAGATCAGTTGACAATTGCTTTTCAACTCGTTGAAATGGAAAGTGAGCTATTGATATAAAATAGTGTTCTGGCAGTGCTCCAAGGTGGGGACACCGAAGCAGATGGGACGCTGGTGTTGCCAGGTATGGATGCAGCATCAKTGCCAACAAAGTGACATGTGGAGTTACGCAGATCAGACTACTCATTACGGCTTTTTTTGTTTTATCCAGACAGAAAGAGGTGGGACGAACTGCTGGAGTATGTCGCATTGGAACTGATGAAGCATTTCTGTAAGTCAGAGTGAACATGAAGATAAAAGAAGTGCTTTTCTAAAACTGTTTGACAACAAGCAAAACTCTACAAAAATAGTTGTTCTGTGAAAGAACTGGCTATATTTTTTCTTTTTTTTTTTTTTTTTTGCCCCTGGGTATGTAAATTTATGTTTTTCATATTAACATTCTATGGTGGATGTGGAATAAATTTCAATATTGCCCACTGCCAAAGGCAGGAGGTGATAATGTTTCTGCCCCTGTCAAAGTGTGTGAAATGTGTGACTTTATGTGTTAGAAACCAGTGGATGGATTTTAATGAAATTCCCCCAAAAAAGTAATCTTTGCATAGATATGTACAAATAATTCCTTTGGAACCAGCCTTATTCTTGCTGGCCTCCATAGTCAAGCAACCTTAGCAAACCTAAAAAAATAATGTCTACGACTTAGACAGTTTAACAGATAAAGAGCTCAGACATTATGTGTTTGTAACTGAGACCAACCACTAACTGATCTCATGAGACCTGTGTCATGTGTCTTTTTATTTATAATGTTAGCAAAATATCACATGCACCACTGGACATGTTTTATTGACAGGCCTGCTCATACATCTGAACAACTTGGAGTCAACCCAATTCAAGATGACAGCAAGCTGATGTAGGTCAAAACAAAAACAGCTAAGACTGAGTTATTTGCAAAATTTCAAACCTATTACTCAGCTTCTTCATTTAATAAATTCCCTGCTGTATGTTTAAGCTTCAAAAGGTCAGGCACAGTCAGGTGGCCGGTGGCAACATTAAAATAGATATGATTGATTATGGTGAAAATGTAATTGGCATTACCTTTTGTAATGCCACTTATTTAGCTAAATGCAGTACACTGGACCATTTTGCTTAGAAGCAYGAAAAGTACCTCCACTTTTACTGAGCTTAGTTTTAATGGCTGCTTGACTCTTCTCAGTTCACAGTGATTCACCCACATGAGTTTATGTTGAAAGCTTTTTAACCCTCTCGTGATGGAATGAGCTCTCAGACAATGCCCCCTTCTTARGAAATCCACAGACAACCTACTCCCACTCCCTCTGCCCTCTGAGACTCTGCTCTACAGAAACTATCTCCAGTGGGTTACTGTTTTGAGCATACCAGGTGGACATCAGATAGTCATCAACTCTCTTTTCTGCCAGAGGCCATCCAGATACAGAGCTAAAAAAGACAACAATAACTTGCGCATCTGATATAGAAGCAACTTTTCCTGCCCAAAAGACCCAGCTGAAAATGCTTTTACCCTTTTGGCTCCTGAGTTTCCTTTTTTTTGTCTTCTTCTTTGATTGAAATAATCTGTTTTATATTGCAGAAGTAACAATATAATGCAAAGAAATGGCCTACACATGCTGCGTTTTGACCCTATGTTCCACTAGCTAAGAATGCTTTGCTTCATGTATTATGATTTTTTTCTTAACAACTTGCAAAATCAAAGTTTTTGACAGTTTGGTGGTGAACTGCCTTGGTTTATTCTTTAGGGTAAAGGCTTCCCTGCACAAAACTCATCTTTCAGGATCTGTCTGTCTGAGATTATATAT